ACACACACACACAAAGAGAGAGAGAGAGAGAGAGACAGAGAGAGAGAGACAGAATTGTCATCAGTATGGCTTCATAAGTAAAAATGGTTCACCATTGTTTCCATGGGCCACTACCCAGGTTCCATATACTCTCAAGTCTTCCCTTTCCCTGTGATTGCTGGAGTGCAGAGATATGGCATATTTGATTTATTCACAGATTTTACCAAATATATCTACAGTGTCCTCAAACTATATTATATATACACACACATATATATATATATATATATATATATATATATATATATGTCTATAAATCAAAATTTCCCCATGTAGAATTTTAAAATATGACACAAAACTTAGAGAACAATGGAGTCAGGGAATGCTTTAGGGCTTCCTACATTGTATGAATTGATCCTCTTATCAAGTCTTCTGATTCAAAATCTGGTTGCCTTTTGTTCTGAGAGGCTAAAATCCAAGAAGAAGCATGATGCATGATTTCTGAGTTGTGTAGAAGAGTTTAAATTGCTGAAGTTATAGTCCTTATTTAGAACACTTGCCACACACACACACCAACAATGGGAAAAAGATTTTATTTGAGGGCTAAATTGTAAGCAAAGTCATATAGAAGAAATTGGGGTCAAATGATTGTATTGAGTAATATTGGGGCTTAGACCTCAAGACCATAGCTCATGCTGAAAAACAGAGTAACATGGACTGAATACATGAGGCAGTGCCGAAGGTGCCTTTCAGTACCTCTCGGGGGGTGCTGAATCATGAGTCATGGGCCACATTTCTCGGAGACCAACCATTATAAATTGTTGTAGCATCTGAAATAGCACAGTATGTTTTCTCCTTATCATTGATACACCAACATCTCTCCTGAGCATCTAACCCGCATACTTGCTATCTTAACACACTGATACTTGCACATTGATGTTCATTGCTCATCAAGTAATAAAAACTATGAAAAGGAATCAATATTCACAAACAGATGAATAGATAACAAAATATGGTATAGGTGCACAATAGATTAATACTCAGGTATAAATAAAAAACAAGGTATCAGGTAAATGGATGGAACTGGAAAATATATTGAATCATTGATTGTGGTAACTCAAGCTTAGAAAGACCAATACCATATAATTTCTATCATATGTTCTCTCATACTAGCTTCCAATATTTTGTTTTATGTATTTAATTGGGGTCAAAAATAGAATCTAGAAAAGGAAAAAGGGGCATTTTGAGGGAGGACATAAGGATGGGGGTTGTAGATTATAGTTAAATGAGAATAGTGATGTTTAGGGCAATAAAAAATTTCAATCACAGAGGAGCTTGGAATTATGGGGAGACCCAGGAGGTGATGTGAAGAGCAAACCAGTTATGAAAAGATGTATGAAAGTATACTTTACCATAAACAATTTAAAAACAATTAAGTGGAATGATAGTAGGACGACAAAGATGTTGTACTACCGAAAGTTAAAGAATTGATTGGGTGTGGGGTCCAGACAATGAGGGGGAGAAAGGGTTAGTAGATGGGTTAACCAAAACTAATGATGTATAATAAAGCCATATGGAATCCAAGTAGCACTTAGCTAATTTCAAAATACAGCTTAACAAATAAATAAGCAAACACCAAAGAGAATTCAGACAGAAATAATATATGTGAATTGACAAAGTCAGTCCTAGATGGCATGGAACACAAAATGAAAATTGTACTACAAGATGTGTAACACACCTATATGAGTTAGTTAGGGAGACTCCAGAGGTCTCCAAACTAAAACACAATATCACTTACTGCTATTTTTCTTTCCAATCATAAACACATGATGTGCCTATATTAATGAAGATAGCAAATATGTGGCTGCAGAATATAGAGAAATCAATCTCAAACTAACTGGAACCTTCCTCCATTACTGTTGGTCTAGATTTAATAGTGGTGAAAGATGATATTCATGCTATTGGGGAGAAAATACATCACTGATTTTACTGAGTGTTGGACCCTGTAAGCTACTATACTGACCTTTTAGAAAAAAAATTTCCCTAACAATATAATAATGCCATGACTCTTTTAGGTTAACTAACTGCTTTCTTATTGAGTTTGAGGATTGTTACACAGGTGAGAATTCCATGTCTAGTATGTAATTCTTGTTAAAATCCATGGCTGTCAAAGTCATAGGTCCCAGAGTAGCACTGGCAATTGTTATTTTGCTAAATGCTCAAGCTGTTGAGTTGGTTTGCAATTTTTATGCTTAGCTGAGTGGTGCACACCATTAATCCCAGTACTTTGGAGACATAGACAGGTGGATCTCTGTGAGGTTGAGGCCATCCTGGTCTACAGAATGAGTTCCAGGACTTACTCTAAAGTGACAGAGAAATACTACCTTGAATAACATTTATGCTTATATCCCAAACCCTGGCGGCTCTCAAACTTGGTCAGAGAAAATTCTTTCTGCAGCAGACAGATGTTGATGAAAATATTTAAAATTTGTCCAAGTGCTAATAAGATATTGAGTGTTTATCCCTAAATGGTTCATCAGCAGTAACCTTACCACCAACAAGGCTCAGAGAACATAATGGATGAGGAGATGGAAAGAATCTAAGTGCCAGGGATGTAGAAGTTTGATGTGAAATGCTATCTTTAGACAATGACCTGGCCAAAGCAATCAAGAATTCACAGAAGATGTAGTTACATGCCTGTATCCTATATCAAGAGTAATAAAGCTAAAATTCCACTCCAGAAGGAGTAAGTGATCTCCAGATCTTTTTCATTATTAGAAGAATATATATATATATATATATATATATATATATATATATATATATATATTATATATATATATTACAAATTTAAAAAATACATTATGTTAAA